CTCAGTCTTTGATTTTTGTACCCACAAATTCAGCCAAAAGTGATTAAAAAAAAGAATTCTTCATTTATATCATTTTTTGATACTTTGCATGTACTTATGTTGTGCAGAAAGTTTGAGCTGATTCCTATCAAAATTAAGAATTTTCAAATTTGCCCAAAAATTGGCCCAATGACCAAGGGCTATATTATTATTAGCCTTTGGTCTTTCATCAAAATTGGTCAGGAGAGAATTCTCCATTTTTATTAATTTTCTGATACATATACATGTCCTTATGTTGTGTATTAATTTTAAGCTGATTCTTATCAAATTTGGATTTTTTAATGAATTTTAAAAGTTGCTTAAAAATTGAGCCAACGACCAAAGACTGTAACCTTTGGTCCTTGGCCAAATTTCGACTAAGATACATGTTTGTTTAAACTCAGCACTATCTTACTTTTAGACCCACCAGATGCTCAAGTGGCAGCTACAAAAGAAATGAAAGAGAAAGGCACTCCTCTGGTACCTGCTGATAAACCTGAAGCACCTGGACCTGATGGAGAAGAAGGAGACATACCAAAGCCTCCAGTCCATGTTATTGATGGTGAAGAGATTGTGCTAGTCTGTCAGGTCATGTTGCGGAAGGAAACACTTGATGGCCTCAAAGATGAAGAATGCTTGAGATCTGCCCCTGTGGGTATGGCTGGTCTCTGCGAGTGAGCTACTGTGCTACACACAGCTTATGCTAGCCTTCATTTGAAATTTATCTATTTTTCCTTTATTGCAGGTTGCATTATAAGGAATATTTGGTTTATAAGATTAACAAAGAAGGATTGGACCCTGTTGAGATGTATGGTATACATCAAGTGAAGCTGATTTTAAGGAGAGAAGAGCTAGAAGTTCCTGAGGAAGAAGATGATGAAGGCGAAGAGGAATACAAAGGAAGATTGATTGAGGTAGGCCATTACTGAGCAACAGTCAATGTGAATTTGGCAAGGAGGGGCTGGCCTGGAGGAGTAGTTTTTTGTTGGCTTATGTTTGAAGCAACTAATTTTTTTTAGATTATTAAGGAAAGAATTCCAATTGTTAAGAAAAGTAAGGATCAAGCTGTTCAGTAGTTTCATGACTTTATAATAGAGGAGAGTGATTATGCCTATTACACTGATGAAGACTTAGAAACTGCTTGTAGTGTTCTCAACGAGCCTTGTTACCCTTGTATCATATGCTATGATGAATTTCCAATGGATGAGGTAATGATTTTAGTGTATCATTAAAATGTCAAGTTTTTGTGCATCAGTAACAAAATTTTTCATTCCAAGTCGTGTTATTCTCATCATTGATTATCAGTTATTATGCTTATGCAGTGTTTTACTATACAGTTTCATGACGTATCTCTTTAGATGCTGTGCATGCCTGCTTGTGGTGACTCACTATGTAAATACTGCTTCAAGGAACACTTTTCAATTACAATCAGAGAGAAAAGTGTTAAACATTTCAATTGTCCCATTTGTGGACTGCCAGATTTAGGTGACAATGACCAGATGCTAGAGATGAATCTTGAGCTCTTTGTGGCTTTGGTAAAACAAATGACATTGTGTCTTAGAATTCTTAAATGTTACGTGTATATTTTAGGTAAAGGCACATCTTGATTCTACCGATTATGACTTGTGTCGGAAAAAATTGGCTGACTTTAATCTTTCAAAAGAACCTGGATTTGTTAGGTGTACTCATGAAGTAAGTCACTAGCATTATGTACAGTATGTGTACAAGCTTTACATTTGTATAGTCGGTTCAAGTTGAGTTGCCCAAGTACCACCCCTTATAACTTTTTAATCACTAATGCTAGCAACCTGAAATTTAGTATACTTGCAAAACGGGTTCTTCCGAAAATCTGTACCAATTTTTGAGTCTCTAGGTACTCTGGAAGGTTCTGAATGGGTTCTTCCGTTCTAGTTCAAAGGGAGCCGCCATGATGAATCATTACGTGTAGGCTACATCACACTCGTGAATATTATTTGCATTTCATTACTATTAATGTTTTTTTATTTATAAAATAAAAGCAAACAGATAAGGTCCTCTAGAGAAGCTGGTATTCAACTAGCAGACCTTGCTACTGGAAACATACTGCTACATCTGTCTACAGCCTTCTTGGTTCTAGTTATTCTTCATCATCTTCAATCTAGGTTGATATCTTCCGTATCCGAGGTCTTTGTCAACTTTATAACAGAAAAAGGTCCAGCCAGTGATAATTAAAGGTAGTAGTATCCAAAGCAAGGATAAAACAGATGACAAAGAGTCTTAAAGGTGAAGAAACACTCAATAAAAGAGCTTGCTTGCACTGTACCACCATTTTTGGGTGTGGCTAGTAGTGACGTTTTGATGATGCAAAAATTGATTTACTTCCTGTGACAACTCAACTTGAACCGACTATATATGTTGTTATGAAATATACACAGCAAGTGTTTATCAAATCAATTTCCTTACACCATATTGAGTCCTCCTCCCTGTGAGAGGGTGTGTGTGTGTGTATACATTCAATGACTATCTAACCAATCTACAGTGTTACTTTCTGTCTAGCAAATCTTCACCTAATCCTTCTCTCTCTCCTCTCCTCCTAGGGCTGTGGGGCTGGTTTTATTAATGATTATCAAACTCATAGCTCTGCTGATCATTATCCACTCAACCATTCTTCTGATCCTCATCATCAGTTCACTATTGGGTCAATGGTGCGTATTGATGTTCAAAAAGGTGATCCATTGTATGGTGTAGTAAAGTGGATAGGGACACTACCTGACTACCCTGGAACAATAGCTGGAGTGGAATTGGTAAGTCATCAAGTTATGTCACATTTATTAGTTAATGTATCATTAATAGGAGAGGCCATTACGAGATTGTACTGATGGTACATGGCATGGAACAAGATTCTTTACATGTCCTCCTGGTAAAGCTTACTTCTGTCCATTGAATACTCTCAAACAAGACACAAGATATATGGATGAAGGACAAGTACCAGCACATATGAGACAAGATATTGATAACCGTATGTTAATATATGTGACCATAATTGACAAAAGGGCCCTTATGGCGGATTTTAAAATTGATCTTAATAATGGCAAATATCAACCTGTGAGTGCTTTGTTAGACAATCATTGTTTCTAAAAGTTTCATGGTAACTTTTTGCATCCTGTGGAGTAATTTTATGATAAATGGGGCTCAGGAAGTTGGATTTCTTAGGCTAGAAAGATAAATTTCACTACCCGCCATAAGGTACCTTTTGTCAATTATGGTCACATATTTTGAATTTTATTTATTACATGATCTTCTTTATAGCATTAGCAAAGTATGCACCAGTAACTGAAGACATTGACACTATGGGATCTCCTGATCTATTCAAATTGTACATTGGTGATGCTCATGGTATTCAAGGTCATCATAATTCATGTTACCTTGATTCCACTGTGTTTGGATTATTTGCTCTCTCTGATTCATTTGATGAGTTGATATTCAAAGAACCAACTGAAGAGGTTGGAAGAAAAGTTAAAGAATTCCTTTGGAAAGGAATTGTTAATCCTTTGAGAAAGTGAGTGTTTTACAAACTGGTTTACATTAATTACTGGTTATTATAACTGGTTTTTCCTGTTTATAGGTATGGGTTAGCAAGATATGAGTCAATAATGGGATTGGGAGATAGTTTAGAAGAATTTGGTAGAATGAAAGGAGCCAAAACTGATGAAAAAGGTAAACTATATGACATTATTATTATCATTATCATCATTTTATCATTGTTATTAGATCCTGAAGAATTTCTTAATCTTTTGTTTAAGGAGGTGCTTCACATACCTCCATTTCTCACTATTAAGTAATTAATTAATAATATTATTATTAATTAATATTGTATTAGACGTCCTTTTGGAATTGAAAAGGAGTTTTTCATTCAGCTGTTCTTTGAGATTGATCCTAATAATACTGAAGTACCTAAAACAGAGAAACTGATAGCACAAATGTTTCATGAACAAAACATCTCATTCACTAGAGTAAGTTTATGTTACTTATCATAACTTGTGATAATTATGACACTTGATGTGTATAGGTTCCTTCTAAACTGTTGCTTCAGATGCCACGTTTTGGTAAAGAATTCAAAATGTACAGCAAAATAATTCCATCACTGACACTTGATGTGAAACCATTAATGGACCCCAGTAAGAAAAAATTAATGCCTTTATTTTTATTTGGTATTTTTAAAGGTAAAAGAGGAGGTCAGAAATGTAGACTCTGTCTAAGTGGTTCAGTATCTTCTGTTTGTTATGCTTGTCCTAAGGAATTATTCAACACTTATGATCCTTATGTTTATTATTGTTCTGAGTGTAATGAAAGTGTACATGAATCTCGTAAAGGTCATCGTGTGGAAGCTGTAGATATCAAGCCAGGGTCTGCTGATGTTGGACAAATTTTAAAGATGGAGTTGCTGTCAGTGATATGTGTTGAGACCAGTCATTATGTGTGCTACACTAGATCAGGAGAAAAATGGCTGTTTCATGATAGCATGGCTGATAGATTATGTAAAATAAACTGCAATGTATATACTTACTGTTATTATTATTTTCAATAGATGATATGTACAATGTTCCTAGAGTGGTTGATGTTACTGCTGAGTTACAGGAGTGGATCTATTCCCCTACTGCTGCTAGTGAGGATCGACTGATGAATACTCCTGCTAGAGATATACCAGAATATGTTCGTAGATTCACTCAAGATATTTACATGTGTGTATATGTTAATCCTGACCTTGATATTTTGTGTAATGATGGTAGCAATGAGCCTGT